TTGAGAAACACTGGACTAGAGAGATATGCAGGTTTTGTTGTACTTCGACCAAATGATTTTCATCTTGCTCGATCACCAAATACAGTATGATATCTATGCCTCAATTTTAGATTCATAACCACCCTGCAAGGTCAATTAGGGTTCTGATCTGGCAGAGTGGAGGACTTGGAAGGCAAGTCTCAATCAAGTTAGGGTGCAGGTCTTCTCCAAAACAGGGCCTTCTCCAGTCGGTCAGACTGAGTCCCATCAGATTGACACAGTCTGGAGAGCACTGACTTGGGGACAAAGCTCCCCTATGTCATATTGGGAAAGGAAGATGTTAGTAGGGTGAGAAGAATTTAAAAAGGAAGCTGGCACGTAGGCTCCACCATCTGATCTTCTCTCCCACCCTTCCAGGAGCTAGCTTCGGGTTGCATTAGGAGGGAAGGTTAAACGAGTACCTTGGCAAAAGCAGCTGGTGAATGGCGGGGAGGTGGAAATGGAGATGGGATTTGACTCCATGAAGCCAATATTTTAGATTGGTAAGCATTCTCTCCCAGTCTGTCTGACAGATATCACTCTTCTTCATCCATTGCAATCTTGCATCTGCCCTATAACTCAAGCGATATGCGGTGAATTAGGTGTCGCAATTAGGTTCACGGTACTATCGTGCAGCGGAGAGCAGAGCTGCCCGGCGGAAGGCGTCATCCCTCAATAGCGTTCATACCAATTTCCTCACCTCGAGTCTTCCAGCTAGGCTGGATTTTTACTTGAATCATTTCCAGCCAGCAATGCCAGAGTAGCACCACCAGACTGTCCCTGCCAACATAGAGAGCGAAGAACTTAGTTCAGCCTGTTGAACGTGAAAAACAGAACAAGAATCAAATAGAAAGAATTTCTCAACTGCCGGCTTGGCCTCCTTTAAAAGCTCTGGCAGCTGAGTTATTTTAATGAGGCTCTCTGGCTCTCTGATTTTCAATTTCCTAATGTATCCCATGCTGGCTGGGGAATTCTGGGAGTTGAAGTCCACCCATTTTAAAGTTGCTGTGGTTGAGAAACCCGGCCCTAATGCCCCTCGCCCACATCTCCTCCCAGGCCTCTTGTTTTTCAACCTTCAAATCCAGATTACTCTGCAACCCAGGTTTCTTTGACTCTGCCACCTGGCATCTTCCCTGTTCATTGAGAACCCCGCCATGCTGTGGTGGCCTAGCTTTATTTTTCTTAGTTGCACTGTCACCAAATCCAGGTTGCAGAAGTGCCAGACCTTTGCCTTTTGCTGCGCGTAGGACTCCCCTTCTGCTGAGCAAGTCAGGCTAAATCTCAAACCTGACATCAAAAGCAGTAAGTGATGTGTGGAGGAAGCCAAGCAATGAGTTCTCCAGGGCAAAATGGGGCAGATTTCTCTTGCTGGTGGAAGAGACTGCATGTCAGCAGCTCCATCTGGCTCAGCGCATATCTGCACGTGACCATTCCTATAGGAGTTTGTTTGGCTCCTGGTTTCTGGGGATGGAGTTACCAAAGGTAGAAGAAATAGTAGTGGGGTTATAAGAAAAAGTACTAACCGTGAGGCAGCTGCTGGGCATGTAGGGTTTAGAGTGGTATAGAGGAGTCATCAAAGGCCTTCCTTCTCTAGAACGCAATATTTTATTTTCAAAACTCTCTAAATGCTCCAGTAGAGGGTTGTTGTTCTATTCTAGCTTTTAATTACCCTGTATTGTCTAAATACAACTGGATTTTTAACTTTAATGATCTTCTATTAGCAAAACTGTTTCAGTACACAACAAAGCAAGCTGTGTACTGCTAGGTGCGATGATGGGAGTTTTAATGACCTTGATAAAGGTCATGGCGAGGGACGTTGTCTGTAAGGACAAAAAATGCCTCCATAGCCATCCAGGCTGAAATCCAGGGAGGGAAAGGGGGGATTCCCAGTTGATGGTGAGCATATATTTAAATATAATGTTTAGTATTTAAAATTAAGTTTAAAAATAATATTTAAATTTATTAATTATATGTATTTAATTAATTAATTAATTAATTTTGTATTATTATTTTATTATATAATATATTAAATATGTTATATTTAATTAATAAATGTATATACACTTTTTTAAAAACCCCACGTCCTAAGCAAAGAGAAATAAAGACAGATGTATTTGCAATGTACTGGGAGGAAGCACAGAGAAACTGTCCTGAGAAAGATAAACCGTTGCAACCCTAGAAAGCTGCTTTTTAGTTTCTGTTTCCTTGCAATCTTGCCAAACAACTTCATTAAGTGTATGAGCCCTTGAAAGCTTGTGCTACCATAATTTTTAACCACACTTGAAGGACTCTGTTTCCTGTGAATGGTTTGGGACTTCTTTTTCTGCCCAGGTTTCTACTTTCTTACATATGTATGTGTGTGTGTGTGTGTGTGTGTTGATTAAAAGTTTTAATTGCAATAAAAGATAATTCAAACTATAGAAAAAAGAAGAAAAAAGTGCAAAAAAGCAAAGGAAAAAAAACCTAAGAAAGCAACGTCCCACCTTCATCACAAGTGTAAACTATTTCATAATCTCTTCACCTCCTCTCACTTAACAGATATAAAACTCTTCATCCCATAACTCATCTCTTAACTATAGACAAATCCAATAAGTGATGTCTTCTCAAGTCCAGGTGTCAGCAAAAAGTCCAAACAGAGCCCTAAAATAATAACATGAATTAACCTATATAAAACCCCACAACGTTTTTCCATTCCAAATGCCAACCATTCCAAAGAAAACCACCCCAAATAGCAAGATATCCCATTCAAATAAATATTCCATATCTCAATTCTTAACTATAAAAAAATCCACATTTCTGCCCAGGTTTCTACTTTCTTGTAATAAACCTCTCCTCTCCTGGTGCATGGAGAAATGCCTCCATGCCCCTGCATTCTCATGCAGTTCTGCTGGGTGTGGTGCTGATAGGGCATTTCCCACACTGTGAGACAGCAAGGAGGGCTGCAAGAAACCTGCAGGCTGACAAGCACAAGGTGGTATCATTCTCTCTCCCTCCCTCTCTCTCTCCTTCAACCTTGCCTCCAACATGAGACTTTGCCGGAAGGGTGAAGGAGATGTTGCTACACACGGTCACCAACACACAGGACTTTGTGGTTGCAAAGCTCACGTGTTTTATGCTGTGTTGTGTCTCATGGAAGCTAAGCAGCGCCAAGAAAGTTTTGTAGGACTTCCTGTCTCTCTGAAGGTTGGTGGCAGTCACTTGACCGTTTATGAGACTCTTCGCCACTTGCATTCAGCTACCTTCACCATCTCTGCTAGACTTCCCTTCCATGGTTCTATCACAACACCAACCACCTCCATATGAGGACTGGCTAAAAGAATGATTACACAATAGACTGAGACCTCTACACCCAATTTGCCACAATGGATTGCTTCCTAGTGTTGTTTGTCAACCCTTGAATGAGCAGGTCTTGGTTTTTTCCAGACCAAGGAGCAGGAAAAAAAGATTTCAAACCAAAGGAACGTTTTGAAGTTGTTCTGTTCTCTTTGTTCATTCATTGAGGATCATAAGTAGTCACTGCATTCATTTTCTTCTGTAAATTAGTTTGAGATAATAAAATATATAGTTCTGAAAACTTACATTCTTCTTCAAGGGAATTTTCAATTGGAAAAATGCAGAGGAAGTCATCTTCTGCCCACTCTTGAGGCAAAGGAACAAAAGATTTTAAAAAAACCCTCTATCTTTTAGAAAGAAACTTATTTTTTCCTGTTAACCATGTGCGTTAGCCCTGGCTTCCAGCTGATGTCACCCCATGGGTGGCGAATGAGGTTCTTGCAAAACTTCACTATTTCCTCACTTTACATAGGGCTAATATAAAACGTGTCTGCTATTGCCACCTAGTGATCAAAAGGCAATATATTCTTTTAGGAAAGGGCATGGTCCATCTCTGGACCTTTGGCCACGTGGCTGCAGGTTGGCTATCAGATTGAGAGCGACATGAAAAGAGACTAAACACCACCTATTGTTCCATTTTACAGAGGTAATCACTGGTGACCAGTTGTACTGGCTCTCTAAAGCTGAGTTCTGCACCATTGCCACATTCAGAGTTTATCTGCAGAACTGAGAATTCACACAGACCAGCAGATGAATCATAGCTATTCTGCAGTGATAAAATATGGCTTAACACCATCTTAAGAAACGATCTCCTGTCTCCTCCTTTAAGATTACACTTCAGCTGTTTAATTCCTTGCTCACAAGCCTATTTTTAGCTGTGAAATTTTGGAATGCATTTTCTTAGGGTGGAATGTGGGTTGTGTATCATTGATAAGGTGTCTCTTGTTCAGTATTCACAAATGACATTGAGCTAGGGAGGGAGAAGTATACCCTTGGACCACCAGGCACGTCGGGGGGAGGGGCATCAAAAAAGTCAAGAGATCGTGAGATCATGCTTCCAATTCCTCATCTCTTTCCAAACAACCATAGGTAAGAGGCATATGGAATTCTTTGTGGTGCAGGCACATTTTTGGGTATGCATCTCCATATACTCTATGCATTTGGAGAATTCCTGGGTAGAATCCTTTGCCAGTTTGGGCCATTTCTCCTTCTCAGACTGAAGCTTCCAAGTAATTTTATAGTTTTGCTTCTCTGTCTTAAGCGTACCATTTTCTGGAAATTTCTCTTACGACTTCTCACATTTTATTCCCAGGTTCTTATTAGCCTTCACCTATTCTGCACCAAGAGAGCCCCAGGCTCCGGAATTCTTCTGCTATGGAAAAATCAAGATCTTTGTTCCAGGAAATAATTGGCTACAAGATGCTCTTTGTCTTCTTCCTACTTTTTAACACAGATATTCTTGTAGATGGACAAACTGCAATCCAGCCTGTTAGCACAGAAATTGTGATCGCCAGCACAGAAATGTCAAGCCATTTTTATGAAAGCTCCCCAACTTTGGTATTTCCGAATCCTACCGTTTTTTCAAATGTTTCCACAGTATCTGTTAAATCACCTCCTGAAGCCACCACATCTAGCACTCCTAGCATAA